CTATCGACTATTAAAGAGAATAAGAAAAGAAAGAGAAAAAAAATAGAAACAGAAGGAAAAACAAGTACGTGAAAACTGAGGAAATAGTAATGAAAGGAAGAAACCCAATACATAATAAGAACTTTCAAGGACAGTAAAATGCATAAAAAACAGCAGTTATATTGTAAAAACATAAAGTCAAAAAAAAAAAGACCCAAAAGAAAAAAAAAACTGATGTGAAAGAGAAGGCGCCTCTGCTTGTTTCCAATGGAAATGCGGTTATTAGAAACGAAAATGAAAACCATAAATAAAAATAAAATAAGAGCAGAGTAAAGAAGGAAAAAAATATATGCCAAATATATGTCACAGACAAAATTTTTACTCAAAATCAAGCTTAAAAAAAATCAACTCGGCCAAGGTACTCGGGCCTAGCCGAGGGCGATTTACTCGAGCGAGTCAGAGTTACTTGCCCGAGTCAAGCCCTTTTTTATTTATGTTTTAAAGAAAATCACGAAAAACCAGAGAGAGAGAGAGAAATGACTGGCAATGCCATTGTAATCTTGAAAGCCTTTGAGTCGTATTCTTGAAGGCCTAACTGATAGTTCTTGAGGAAGAATTTTAACTTTGAGGTTTCGAGACCAAGCGAGAGAGAGAGAGAGAAAGAGAGAGAGAGAGAGATATTAGACTATACCCACGTTCTTGATCTTGAAAGTGTGCGTTCTCAAAATTCTTAGAGAGAGAGAGAAAGAGAGTGAGGCTAGAGAGAGTGAGGCTTTGAGAAATATCACTACAGTTTGAAAACTAGAGAAAGAAAAGACTGTCAATCGCGTTGTAATCTTGAAAGCCTTTGAGTCGTATTCTTGAAAGCCTTTTAAGTGAGAGTTCTTGATAATATTGAAAGTGAGAGTTATTGTGCATAATCTTGAAAGTCTTTTAGAGAGAGAGAGAGAAACCTTGAAAATCTGAGAATGTTGCAAAGAGAAATCTTGAAAATCTTTCAAACACATATAAGTAACATAAAAAATTCTTCAATTAGAGAAAATATGAATAGATAGATAAGATATCTTGTTTAGTTTTAAATGCTAGAAATGATACAAAATAATTTTTTTAAGAATTGAAAGACATAAAGCTAAGTACGAAATCCTATAAAAGATTTTGTACTATCATCTAAATTTTGACATGAAAATTAAGAGACTAAAATAAATCAAATAAAAAAATCATTACTCGCAAACACATTTAAATAATATAAAAAATTCGTCAATTGTAATAAATTAGTAGATAGATCAGACATCATGTTTAAGAAAATAGAATCTATGAAATCTTAATAATTTAAATATCAAGAAATTGATTTAAGGAAAAATTGAAGTGAGATGCATTAAATGCTTGAAATGATATTTAATTTATTATTTAGGAAATGAAAGACATAAAGGTAACCATTAAATCCAATAAAAGACTTTGTACTATCTTAAATATCAAGAAATGGATTTAAGGAAGAATTGAAGTGAGATGCATTAAATGCTTGACATGATATTTAATTAACTTTTTAGGAAATGAAAGACATAAAGGTAAGCATGAAATCCAATAAATGGTTTTGTACCATCATCCAAAATTTTGACATGAAAATTAAGATATTAAAAAATTAAAAATATACAAAAAAAAAAGTCAATTGTAGAAAGTATAAATAGATAGATAAATACATTTTGTTTAAAAAAAAAAATTCTATAAAATTTTAATAATTAAAAAATCAAGAAATAGATAGATTTAAGAGAGCTTTAATGTAAGATGCATTAAATGTTTCAAATGATATTAAATTAATTTTTGAGAGATGAAAGACAAATGTAATTATGAAATCCATAAAAAAAAATTGTGCTCTAAACCAAAATTTAATCATGATAATTATGAGAACAGATAAATAAACTTGAAATAGTCAATACTTTCAGACACTTCTAAATAATATAAAATAAAAGAAACCATCAATTGTGTACGAACCATAAAAAGATATACAAGACATTTTGATTAAAAAAATTAATTCATGGAATCTTAATAATTAAAAAGCCACATACTTAGTATTCTTTATATTAAGGTACATTGGTTTAGTGGAATTAAATTAATGTTGATGTTATTACCATAAGATTTCACATAGACTATGCCACATATTTGAAATGAGTTCATGGACTGTATACTCATTAGTATATACTTAGCATTTTATGTAATAAAGTACATTGATATAGTTGATTTAACTTATTGTTGATAGTCAGATAGTATTATTAGGAAATTTCTCATGGGCAATGCTACATAATTGAATGAGTACATGGACTATAAACTCATCAACATCAGTATTACTAAAAGATTTCTCATGGACTATGAACTCATTACCATCAGGGGTAACAAGCAAATGCATACAAGCCCTTAAAATTAACCCATCATATTCGGAACGCAACCCATCTTTTGAGGAGTTATGATCCCCCATCGATAGGGATCAAGGTCCTTTGAAGTTGAGGATCGTGATCCCTTTAGATTAGGAATGAAGATCCCTTTAGATTAGGAACAGAGATCCCAATCCCCTTATACGAGGAATCGAGTACCTCTCGGGCTCCAGCTCCCGGATCGCCGAATCGAGATTCCAAGAGGGGAACACCACCCCTCACCAAGATCCCCGCAACTATGGTATGATTTGCGACATGGTTGAGGAGGCTTCAAGGCAAGCTTCCAACCCTAGGAGGGCCACTAATCCACAACCACTCTCCTTGTAACAAAAAAAGAGTATAGAAATAGAGGAGGCCGATTTAGAAGTAACTAAGGAGGAGGGTCATTATGCTGAAGAGGATGAAAATTCTGATGATGATAGCTTCAAATCAAATGGATGTGCTCACGATGAACCCATTGGTCATGAAGAAGATGAAAATTGAAGACCATATTTTTCTTAAATTTCTTTTGTATCATTTTACTTTTATGATTTCCATTATATTGTGGTTTGGATATTGCAATACGCATGGAGATTAGGGTATATGAACAATGGGCTTGTGGTTGTGACCTTATATTTAAGTTATTCAATATTTGCCTATTTTATGTATTATATATTTTTTACTTTGTAGTATGGATTGTTATATTTTTTACTCTTTATAGCTGTTAGTTGTTACTCTTTGTAGTTGTTGGTTAACTTACTGAATGAATATGGATTTTTTTTTTTTTACAAGGTTACCTAGGAATAGAACTTGAGATGTAGCACTATGAAAACTCAGCTGCCACCGTCTTAACCCAAGCCTGATTCGTGAGTGAATACGGATTTATTGCAATTGTGAAACATGATTTAATAATTCCTATGTGTTTTCAACATTCAAGTGCACATATTTGTAGATATACTTCGTTAAAATACATATAAATGCATAAATATGCAAAAATGACGTGTGTGGGTGGGTGGGTGGAAGTGTGTGGATGTGTGCGTGTGTGTGTGTTTTTTGGGTGGGTGCGCATGTGTGGGCAAGTGTTGATTGCATGATGTCTCAAATTCAAATCGTCATGTGGCTCTCTCTCTCTCTC